CCTCGACCCACCTACTTTTCTAGCATTTCTAACTCCGTTCTCTCTCTCTCTCTCTCTCTCTCTCTCTCTCTCTCTTATCGTTCATCTTTAACCTAGGACTAGTGCTACGCTTTCTCGACAAATTTCCAAGTGGCTTTCCAGCATTGACCAGCCCTGTCCCTATCGAGATCGACTTGCTCGCTTGATAATCCCATTTCAATCGAAACGTTTCACCATCCACGAGTCTTTTCTCCTTCTTCGATACAGATGGAACGACGTGGTTTCACGTCTCGCGAGCGGAGGAACGAAAGAACGATCTCGAAAATACACGTATCCTCGAATCTGGAAGGGAAATTGTATCGACGCTACCTCGAAACTTCGTTTCCAATTCCAACCCCTCCCCTCAAGAAGGAAAAAGAGAATATCCGCACGATAGCCGGATACATCGCCTTAAAAACGCCAAGGTGTTCCGCTCCCCCCCCCCCCTCGCCCTTCGATTTCAATTTATCGTGCCCACCCACCGCTTGCATTATGTATCTGGTGAGGCGTACGTATCCCCCTCTCGTTTCCAACCACCTTCTTCCCGTGCCGCGGCGTGTATTAAATTAGACGGTGACGCGGGCGAGCGAAGGAGGCTGCGCAGCGGTGCGGGGGCGCCCCGGAGCTCATCAAGAGTCGGAGGCCCATTCACCCGGTCATTGTCTGCGGTAATGGAATGTATTAATATCGGAGAGCCCGCGGGGCCGACGTCCTCCTCTCCCTCTCCCTTCCTGCGTCGGACAACCGCGGCCTGCAGCACGAGACCAGGCCGGATATACGTCCCCCGGGACACGGAATATTCGTATAAAGCGTTGTTGCATCGCAACAACCGCCGTCGAACACTGGACCCTAACGCATTAATAATACCTAAACGAGGAGAGTGCGACAGGTCTCTCCTTTTTCCACCCACGTTTTCAAACATCACCCGCGATAATTGCAGCAAGGGGTTGCACTTTTCGCGCGCAGCCCGAAATTTTTAAAGAGATGGAAACGACGAATTATTCCTGTAATAGAGATAGGTGATAGGCGTCTTTGAATCGTTTCGATCCCGAAAAATTTCAACTCCTCCGCGAAACAAATCCCTCCTGGATTGTTGGAAATCGGCCAGTTTCCACCCGAATAATCCGGAGAAAGGGGGGATTTTTTTTAAAACTCCGCCGAGTTTTATTTTACGATGGACGGATACGATGCTCGTTGTTGCGTCGATAAATTTTTGCGGGAAAGATTTTCACCGAATTCCCTAAGCTTTATCTCGATTAAAACGAAAGTGGAAAAAGAGTGGAGAAAGAGTGGAATTCGTTAAATTTCTTCGAATTATTCGATATACTCGTACTCCTATCGTCCTCTATGCGCCCCGCGCATTGTTACGCGCATTGTCATGTAAAATTGCTTATTAGCGGACAAAGGGGGGGGGAGGGGAGGGGAGGGGTACGTGATCGCATGAATGGAAGGCCGATGAATATGGAACGAGGTTTGCACGGAGGTTCGATCAGCACGGAATTATCCGACTATCGGGTCCGGCTGGATTAATTGCGGGGGGCGCGGCTTCGATAAACACACGCCGCGAAAGGAAGAGTTTCCGCGTAAATATTAATTAGAAGCGGCCGAGACGCGAAAAAGCGCGGGGGGGGGGAGGAGGAGGAGGAGGGAGACACGCTGATTTAATCGCGCGTTGTTATCCCGGGGATTTATTCTTCCTCCCAATATGCATCATCCCTTCCGATTAGAATTCATCAACTTTCTCTGGCGCCGGCTAGAATCGAATCTATTTTCTTTCCTCTTATTTTTCCAACATGCGCGTAGAGATAAATGAATTTTTCCTCTTCTGCGATCCTAATGTATCTAGTATAAATAAAATAAACCGATAAATCAATATTCCTTATAAATTCTTTTTGTTCATAATCGTGACGAACATTGGTTATACACACTTGAAATTCTCCTTCCGTCCATTCTTTTTCCAATCATACGCGTAGAATCACTTCGACTTTGTTCGATTCCAGAAACCACGAACGAGATGAATGATATTTAAATAACGGTAGGACGAGATGAATCTTCGTCTTCTTCGATCCTAATGTATCTAAGTAAAATAAAATAAAATTCTAATCAATATTCGTTACGAATTCTTTTAACGTGAATTACGAATTATCATTGATTATCGATTTGAAATTTTGTTGCATTCAACATTTTTTACCTCTTTTTTTATTTTACCTTTTTTCTCAGCATCGCTCGGAATCGATGCGATCGAAGTCGCACATTTCTACGAACGTAACGCGTTAAAATAACACGTAATATCAAATATCTCAAGAACAAATATCTAATCCAATCCCCCTCCCCATTCTTTCATTCTCGTTTCATTTCAGCCGCGCGACGCGATGAAAAACGGTCGCATGGGTAAACGTCGCTGGGTTTTCGCCGTGTAAACGGAGGAGGGGAGGGGGAGGAAAAAGCCGACGCGGCGAGATTAGAAATAATTACCTCCGCTCTTTGTTTACGCGCGATAACGCGTCCCGCACGACAAACTCGACGACAAACCGGATTCCGCGTATTAACCCGCGTCGTCGCCGCGTTTTTTTTAGTATTCATAGGAAATCCTCCGCGTGGCGGGGAATCCGCGGCCCCATTAACGAATCCTGAAATATTAATTCTCCTCCTCCGTGCCGAGTTTCGACCGCGATTAAATCGTGTCTGCCGTGTCACGAGGGGGCCGTTCATTTACCTTTCCACCCCACGTCTCCGCCAATTTCCTTCCTCCTCCCCCTGCTTTTCGACACGCATCGCCACCGTATGAATTATTCACAGCGATAACCGCTCGGACGACGTCGTACGAGTAATTATCGTATAATCGAGCGTATAAGCAAATCTCGAGAGGACGACTCTACTTCCTCCTTCTTCTCCGGCGGGGAGTCGTTTCTTTGCGACGTTCGATCACCACGATCGGAGTGATTTAAACGCGGAGATAATATTTCGCGCGGAGGAAACGAGGCCAATAAATTTTCTCGCGTGTACCGCGAGATCGCTTAATCCCAGTAGCCAGAGATCCTCCTCCTCTTCCTCCTCTTCTATTTTCTGATCGGCCGGTTATATAAACGAGGGTTGTATTTTTGGAACGAATAAAGCAGCGATAAGCGTCTCTTTAATCTTCCATAAACTATCCCCCGCGTATGTGCACGTATATACGTATGCTTTTGCCAAGTTTTCACTCGCTTTGGTCACGTTCCACGGATTGATGGGAAGCAATATTTCCGCTATCCCATCGCCATCGGTTAAACAAAGCAAATAAATCCTATTTCTATCCCCGGACAAAATGGAATTCTTCCAAGCTTGCTGCTTTCACCGATTCAATCGTGCGATCATCGTGTCTCTGAACACCACCATCCCAATCATTCCAACGCGATTCTCCCGATTCTCAAACTTATCGAAAATATTTCGCCTCGTCCAAAATCCTTTCTTCTCGTCACACGCGATCTCCCAAGATATCGCCGCTCAAATTTCCCCTCCCTCCATCGACCCACGATTCTCTCGTCACGCTCTAGACGAGGCGCAATTTCATATTCCGCGGACCCGTCCTTCTCCTCCACTCTCATTGTCTCGCGAAATCCGTCGTTATAACGGCCATTCACGGAATCAGAGGCTGTGTGTATAAACCTACCAGGATCCTATATTGAATCCGGCCTATAATAGCCTAGCCTCCACTCCAAGCATTTCGAAATTACGAGATTCGTCCCAAGAATTAGGATATTCCCTATTCGTATATAATTGCGTACGATTGGCTTATTCGATGCGAATGACTCGAGAAAAAAAAAAAAAATCGTAGCCAAAAATTTAAGAGCGAGAAAATCTAGAGCCTCGACTTGAACTGACTAGGATCTCAAAATTACGAGAATTCGGATATTCCACTCTTTAAACTTCATTTGTAATGTTATTATTGAATGTTGCCAGCGACGCTACTATTGATACCACAATTGATACCTATTTGTTTTCTTCGATACGTTTCAAATGTTTCGTAAACAGGTATCTACGCAATTACGTATCATTAAATATATTCAGCTAAATCCCTACATTTTATTTGTTGTTTTCACTGAAAAGAGCGAGAAAATCCCATTGAATCTACAATAACATTGCCTAGCCTCGACTCGAGCCGATCTCAAAATGCGTCACAACAATTCCACTCAGGAACTTTAAACCGATTCGAGAGGAGCTATCAAATCTCTCTCGATCAACGAAAAAAAAAAAAAAAAAAAAAAAAGAAAAAAGAAAAAGAAACTCGTGAAATTGTACCCAAGATTCGAAACAGTTGCATATACACGCGTAGGTGTACGGTTGGTCGATCGCGATTCAGGGCGACGCAACGACAACGGGAGTAGTCGGCGGATAGATACGGGTGACGAATGGTTGGCTGGCCATCGAAACGAGAAAAGGTTCGCTTACCGTGCCAGGTGGGGGCCAACGTTTCCCGTGTCGAACGTGGAGCTTGCCGTGATATCCGCGTCCGGGATCGCGCCCGACTCCATGCCGAGCGGCGCGATGCATTGGGCTGAAACAAACGAGAGATCGGGTTAAAACGTCGCCGTCGCCGTCGCCTTCTCGAGACGCGTTCCCAAGCCTGGAGGGGTTGTATCGACCCCTTCGTCCCCTCGATCATAAACGAGCTAAATAACCGAGGTGAATCCGAGATGGATCGGATGGAGCTCGGTTTACGTTCTCCTCCTACGACCTCCGCACATCCCTCCCCCTCCAGAGGTTGGAAGAGTTGGGACTGCCTCAACGTTTTCCCTCCTATCTTCGCCAACGATCAAATTGTTTCACGAGGGAACACGGCGGCCAACTCCTATCTCGATACGATATTGTTCTCCGTTATATTTACGATTTTGCTACGGTTGGCGAGAACTAAGAGAGGGGAGAGGCTTTCGGGACGTTGTACGCGTGGCTCGATAAATTGTCGATGCAGTCGGAATTACGATTCGAGCGGCGGTGTAAATTGAAATTCTCTGAAATTGAGTATTATCATTGACACTCGCCCGATTTCATCATCCGCCGGGTGAATATACGCAGTGGGGGTAACGAACGCGCAGTGATATTCGCGTGGCGTACTTGGTGTTCCACGATTCGTTTCGTTGCTCGATAATTAGGAAAGAATTGGCGGATCGATTATTATTCGCGAAAGATAATTAAGACGATTAAAGTGGAGGATGCGTTTAAATCAATCGTTAAATCTCTCTCTCATAGAATTTTTAAATTTCGTATAATAGAAGGGAAAGAGACGCGTACGCGTTCGAGAAGATTAATCGAGATACTTTACTCACGATCGAGTCGAAACGAGAAAAATAAAGCAATTCGTGTTTACGGAAAACTCGAATTACCGGTAAATAATCGATCGCAATATACAAATCCGTCGAATATCGCGCGCAACTTTGCCTGAAGAAATAATTTTGGATAATTTGGATTCAACGATTCGCAACTACCCGATTATCATAGAAAATTTTCGAATTACGAATGGAAATGGAAAGTAGAGAAGGAACACCAATCGAATCTCGTGTAAACGATAAATTCGTACAGACCTCGACATCCCTGGTTCGATTATCGAAGCGATGCGCGCGCTGGACTCGCATCGATTCCAATCTATGCGTATATATATATATATATTCTCTATCACTACTAACTAAAACGGTAAAATTTGCGTCGTTTGCGAGCATTGGCGGGGCTGTATAATAAACGTATAACACGTATAATTCCGGATATCGAGTGCAGGTGCACCGGAACAACGCGATGGGAGAATGCAGCTTTGTGCCGCGAGTGGGCAGAGGCTCCGTGAGAATTAATGGCGGGGAATTCGAGGTTATAACGGAAGGAATCCGTGCTAAGCCATCGAGAAACAGAACGGCCGCGTATAACGTGGGCGGACCATTAATATTATCGGCCAAACTTTGCTCCCCATCCTTGAACGAATCCGCGACGTCGTAATTCCTCCCTTCGATCCGGCAGAGTGGGGGAGAAAGGGAGAAAGAGAGGGGAGGCCGGTGTTATCATTGTAAGATGAAATTCCTACAGATTGCGAGCTCGTCGCGAAAACGACGTTAGAGTCTGTGCTTCGAACCGGGTAACGAAGTAACTCGCGTGTAAATGAATTAATTTCTACGCGAACTTGTGTGTCGCGCGGAACGTGTACTCTCCCGGGGGAGGAACTGGGGCATCGATGAAACTTGACGGTGCTCTTCTCGACTTTGGGGAGGGGGGGGGGAGGAGGAGAGGATTCAGGAGGGATTGATTATCGTCGAAGAATATATCGAGCGATTTAAGTAAATTTTATTTCGAAATGCAGAGACGCGGGCGAAAAATATATATATATACTTTTTTCGCGTGATGATTTTTTTTTATTTAAAACCACAACTGTCAAATAAATACCGTACGTTTGACGTAGGGAATTACAAAAGCTTATCGCTTGTTGTTATAAAATATTATTACGATATACTGCAAATAATGAAATTTTAAATAGAATTGAATTAAAACGAATTATAAACGATATTAATATTAATACTCGAAAATGCATAAATTATCGAATTCTGAAATAACCGTATAAATCCTTATCCTTTTTCCTTTGATTTTACATTTTTAATTTATTATCATATCAATGATCATTACCATTTCGTTCCAACTCGGGACCCTAAAGTTAATCCCATTTTTCTTCGATATTTACGAGTTCTTATTTAAAAAAAAAAAAAAAAAAAAGAAAACGCATAAAAATATATAGAAATAACACAGTCGAAAATTAATTATCCACCGCAAAGTTCGATCCAAACCTTCGACCAACTTTCACTGGGAAAAACTCTTTCGAACGCCTAGACCGCATTGCGGATACAATTCCCCCTCGGATCCTTCTTTCATTTTAATTCCAACCTCACGTTTCAACCCCGATCTATCCCCATTCGACAACCTAAAAAAATTCCAATTAACAAAAAAAAAAAAAAAAAAAGGAAAACGCGCGAGTAACAACTCTTTAACGCGCTCTCCGCGAATTATTTCCACCGGCGTGGATCGTCGAGGAATCAATAACGATCCACGTGGAAAAGACAAAGCGGTGCAGAGGATCGGGCACGCTATTACTATTAATGAAGCCTCGATATATCGCCCCCACCCGAACCGATTCTCCCTCGCTGTCGCTGAAACTTTCCCCCCCTCGCGAGAATAAACTCGAATATCGTTCTCCGCCCAGAATCCGTTTCCTTTGTCGCCGCTTGTCCTCCCTAACGAGCCTCCCTCCCACCATGAGATCATATCGCGTTCATAAATCGATCGCGAATAACAATTTCGAGGTGGCGAAAATTTACCATTCCACCGTTTTCATCCCATCTCTCTTTTTCCCTCTCTCTCTCTCTCTCCTGTACGCGAGAAAACTCCTTCTTTTTTTTTTTCTTTTTATTGCACC